AAGGCGCTTACCAAGAAGTAGTTCCACATTTCCTAGGCCGTCTCCAGCGAAGGCTGTTTCTATAACTCAATCAATAGTTGAAGAGGAAAGGTGACGGCGGACAACCTTGCCCCATACTTCTGAGGCTATTGAAGAATGGAGACAGTTTGCCATAAACCCTCACTCTGTCCGAACTATGCGCGCATAGCGCTTTGAGAAGGTTTACATATTTATCCGGCAAACCTTTTCTCAGCAGACCGTCCCAAAGGGCACATCAATCTACCGAATCAAAGGTACCTTTTAGGTCGCGCAACACGACAACGGTGGGTCGTCAATAAACATGGCGGTGCTCCAACCATTGCCGCAAAGTGAAGATGTGGTCGATGCAGCCTCGATTTCGACGAAACCCGACTTGCTGTTCGCGGATCTGACTTTCACGAGCGCCAGTCAGTCTGTGGAGAACGACAGAGGCAATTACGAGGACGCAGCCTCGATTTCGACGAAACCCGACTTGCTCTTCGCGGATCTGGCTTTCACGAGCGCCAGTCAGTCTGTGGAGAACGACAGAGGCAATTACGATCAGACTGATCCTTCTATGGTTGCCGCACTCCGAACGGTAGCCTCCTTTAACAACTGGGACTATGACCGAGCGGCTCCAGTCTCTCGTGACAGTTTCCTGCTCCCAAAGTTTCACTAGCAACTCGTGTAATTCATCTACAAGAGTAGGTCCGCCGAATTTGTAGAGAGCTGGGAGAATTTTATCTGCACCAACAGCCTTATGCAAGTTCAGCAGTCAGATCTCACGTTCGACTTCTGCGCGTGAGGGCGGATCTAAGGAGACGGGCCATGGAGAAGTGCACTCAATGCCCGAAAGAGAAAACGATAATCAAGATTGCTTAAACTGCCTTGTAACGTGTTCGGCTCAATGCTCCAAGCGTTTGACAAGCTGTGAATCGACTGTCGTCTCTCCTCGCGTATTGTCTCGCTAACACCAGGTATCCTGCTGCCTGTTTTCGTATCAGACAGAATAACATGTGATGATTACCAACGGCAGCGGCTGTTTCCATTTCCGATGCACGATGAGACAACCAGGCTTCGCAGTCTCTCCTCAGGATAGCACACAGATTTGTGCTGAGATTTTTGCGAGTCACATTGTATTCACTTTCAGCCGGAATACGTCGGTGAGCATCCATAAGTTCCAGAGACTTTGTAGAGACACAATGTGAAGATTGGCAATTTGATTTACTACATGAAGACATGTCTGCTGATAGTAGCGTTTGACGAATACGCGATCAGTGATCTTCGACGGTGTTCACTGGACGCTTCCACAGCCCAGATGCCAGCGTAGTTTGACACGCATCCGGACCAACTGGCTTCGCCAGCTGGCTGCTATCAATCCGCTCAGAGCAACGTTGCGGACGTCCGCCGAAACGCACCCGCAGATCAGCACACACAATAGCATGATCGGAGTCCACACTGGTGCTCCAAATCGAGCGACAGTTTTGGACAAAGCCTCTCCAGCGGTAATTAATCGCGATGTAATCGATTTGCGTCGATGGCTGGTCAGCGAATGGTGGGCACCAAGTCTCTCTTCTACGGGTGCTGTGTCGAAAGTTTGTGCTCGCGTGAAAGAGACGAGCACCTTCACACAGGTGTAGCAATCGCTCACCGTTTTCATTACGGGAGCCTACACCATGTTGGCCACCCAGATGAAGCTCATCAGAGAACTCTTTCGACTTGGGCGTTTAGATCACCAGAAAGCACCACAATATCCATGCTTCTTCTGTAACGAAGAAGATCGTTAAGTTAATGCTAGAAATCATCTTTCACCGAATCAGGGCTGCAATTTGTGAGGCGTAAGCCGCAATGAAAAGCAGGTACCGTTTGTCCCCGCGCGACTTCGAAGCCTGGAACGAGCCAGCCAACCCAACGACGCACATCCGGCTGTTGACTGGGATCCAGTCGATCAGAGCAAATTCAGCTCGTGGACTCAAAACAATGCCGACGACAGCTTGATCGGCATTTGAAGTTGCGTCATCGCCAGCCAGACACAATGAGGTTATGCCGCCAGTGTCGCATGTAGGGATCGCAGAGTAGGCGCGGAGCTCGAATCTTGCAGGGGGTTTCAGCTAAACAGCAAATAGCGACCGAGAGGGTCTCGAGTGTACGGGCACGTGCCGTCTATTGGCCAATCTGTAGCAAAATGCGCACCTTGAGGCATGCCAGTCTTAGCGAGGATTCAGGACTCCAAAAGTAAGTGGATGATGTAACGTTGCCGCTTGGTCGTACATGGGCTTGTCGTTTGGATTGAAGTGACGCCCTACGATTGTGTGTGAATTGAAACTAGAAGACAAACGGCTATTGAAGGGAGGTATGGGAGAGCCAAGAATTGGGGGATTGAAAACGGGGGATGGAAGTGAAGTTGGAACGGGACGCTAAGGATGAAAAGCGCAAGAAGGCGGGAAGGTTTGAGCAGGAGCATCCAAACCCCTATCCACCCTATTCGATGCAGCAGATAGGCCGCCGTTTATTATCCTCTGCGAAGGTCAGAGCATCAGGGGCTTGTTACAAGGAAAGGTCATGGTGTATTTCGTGGGCAGGATACTGTCAGTTTGCCCAGGCATAGACAGGAGGACGATTAGGGTTCTCAACCAAAGCCTTTTGTTCAAAAAGCTTACAGCAAGGCAGCGGGTTTTGGCACTGGGCTACAGAGAGCCCGTTTTATGGAATAAGGAGCCACTCCTACTCTAACTCCCAACCTGGAGGGCCAGGAGACTAATTTTGTCTGATCTCTGACCATTGGCCAATCTGGTATTAGTGGCTCGGAAGGTGCAAAAAGCACCACCCAACATAGCTCAATCGATCACTGGGGCACACAAACCATCACACCATGTTAAGATCCAGTCTCATCGCAATGGAGGGATTCCACAGCATGCATGTCGGAATTTTCTGTGATAAGGATGTAGCTGTAAATCTTGGTTATCATCCAACTCATTGCCGAAGCCAGGTTGAAGTCCGTCTCGGGCGTGGAGGAGAGACGACGGGAAATTACAGCCAACAAGCAGCCGGTTTATGTGTTACAATACCAAAGGGATTCATGAATTAGTGCACCTGGAGATTCGCTTCTTGGATGCAGTAGGGCTTGACGAGGCATGTATGAAGTGGATGAAGCTATGTCGACCGACGAAGGACCTAATCGTTTTCATTTGTGGTTTGATATCGAAAAGGGCTACACTGTCTCGAAATGACTGCAACCTATATACAGTCTCACTTGCACATGCGGTAGGTAGACCATTGGTAGCGTTCTCAACTGCTACTATTCCGAGCACATGGTTTCTGCTTCGCTGTTATTGTTGCTGCCGAAGGTAGCGCAATTTATGTCAGCAACGCTTTTATATTCACCGTCATCTGTTGGGACTGGAACACACGTTTCAGTATCTTCGGGCCACTGCCCTTTTAGTGCGTTGACTCGCGTACGCTGGAAACCGACTGAGACATAACATCACTAGCAGAGAGCCTCAAGTATGTACTGACGTGAGCAGGAGGTTCCCCGTCTCTAGCTCTTAGTGGTTCAGGCACGCTACGAGCGACAGTGCATTTTTTCTCTCGTCTGCATAGTGGTCGTTCGAATTATTTTCCTCCTAGTGGCGTGCACTACATAGAAAATCTGAAAAATTGCGTATCACCGCCTTCACTCCGAATGCGTTATACGAACAAGTGCGTCACCTGGACAGCATACGGGGATCCCAGTGTTGTCCGTAGAGTTCAAGGTTCACCGCAGTGCATCGCGTTTAGATGCCTAGCGACGCGCATAAAGTTGGCCTGCCTGGTCCGGATCTTGATCCAATCACAGAGAAAATTCAAATGCTTTGAGTCGTCCTACTAATTATCCCAAGAGCAATTTGCCTTGGGCGTTGGTGTAAATCGGTGTTAGGATACCGTAGTTCTGCCTGGTCTTCGATTATGCGGGGGGGGGGGCGCGACGATTGATGGCCTTGGCGACGTCTCTGTAATTTGTGCCTCGTCCCTGACACACGTTGTGACTGTGGTGGCTGAACCTCCTGAAATTGCATTCTGATTATATCGAGCAGCAACTGTTGCACAAGTAGATCAGTCAGTAGACTGGCGCGTCGCGTCTTACGTTAGTCAGTTATACGATCGCAAGTAGGGAAGCCAGCTTTCAGGTCGTTGCACCGCAGACCAGCTTGATTGAGCTGCGAAAGTTGATGGCTGCCTGGGTGAGAATGATTCACAATGGAAACGAGTTGATCTGTTGGTTCTATTCTCGGTCATGGAATGGGACGGTTGCAAAACTGTTGGAAAACTGATGGAATCCACTATCGAGTAAACCCGAAATCCGGGGTGGGTTATTGTAACAGCGTGAAACTGCATGAAACTGGGCGAAAAGAAGTAAAAATTTCTAAACCTCGGAAGAAACATACTCTGCTGACATTATTCTAAAGAGAATGATTTCAGTGCACAGAGCTCGTCAAACCGATACGACTAAGTGTAAATCCCGTTACGGAGTAAATCCGCAAAAATGGTGATCAAAATGATGCGACGGTCAGACGCATGATTCATATATGCAGTCATTAACAAGTAATGTCCCGTTGGATCGGTTTCTGGAGTACGTCTATTCTTTAAGTGTACTACTATTTTTGCAAATGTGATGTCTTCCGCTGCTATACTGCTGACTGAAGACAACAAAATGCCAAGGTAGAGGCCGATTGAATATCATCCACGATATTTTCAAACGCTCTATATGGATTCTAATTTTGTCAATTTGATCATCTGTCAACAATTCCCATCGATTAACTAATGACTGGATCTCCGATTCATGTATTATTCTTGGTGACTATGGTATAAATTACGGCTTGGTAAACCCCACATATTGGTGTTCACCGTTAGAAATAATCGGCGTTTCTAATGTGTTGACCACCTGCGGACGTTCAGTTATGTGACATGGGCGGTGAAATGGAGCATAGCCAGTTGAGATCAGAGAAGGTAACTAATTTCGTTACCTTAATAAGTGTATCTTCTTCGGCAAACTTCCGCCTTTGCTTCTCCTTTTCTATCAGCCATCTCTCCCAAGCAGTAAATTTGCTTTCCGTATGGAGTTGCCTGCAATTTTTCGGATCTGGAGTTGAAACTGTAAGCCGATTTGATTGGTAAGTGCTGTCATTCGATGCGGTGTAATTTTTCCAAGCATCCTGGGTAAAGTCTGGCGATCCAGTAGCTAAGTCCACCGATACGCCACTATGCATTGTACGGAATCTGGGATCGGACTCCCGCGAGGTAGCATGACTTGCGATCTTCCTATGCCTGGGAATAAAAAACAGACCAGATATATTTTGTTTCTTTTGATGTTTTCCTACCAGACATGAAGTACCACCAAAGTAATGCGATTCTCGAGGGGATGTGGTGTGAATAGCGCATCTTGCATTGTCGTGTTAAAACAAGCACTGTTATTTGCGCACGCCTGTCTAGGTGATCTGGCGCTGTGGAGAATAAATTTGTTTACTTGCCGCTAGTGCCACTTCCAGACTTCATGCTCCAAATCTGATGTTTTGGGATATAAGGTGCATGTGCCATATTTGGCCAAGTTTATGTGGGAAACACAAGAACACAAGCGTTGAGATAATAAAATTGTTATCAGGAAGACTACTCTGAGGTATAAAGGAACTGCAGAAACGAATCCGCCAATCTGAAAACGCTAATGAACAGTACAAGTGACAAGTGTTTTTCTGTTCTGTTCTTTTGCAAGCGGACGTTGGTCATACAAGTAAACTCTAAAGGATGGTTCTGCTACTCCGGTTGAAACAAAACTGACTGACTGATACACTTAAATAGCAACAAGGCACTGGTACTATTCTGGCTGCCCGTGCGGTTTTGTTAGTTACAGTCGCTATCACGTCCATACCTTGTGAATGGGAATCAGCTGACGGTCTGTTAATATGGCTTTCGGGATTCCGTGATCCGCTAGCATATGTTTCGTTACCGCATGAGTTATAGTGTTCACCCTTTGATCCGAGATTCCCGTTGCTTCAATTCAGCGCGTGAAATAATGGATCAACAGCAATATGTATTGGTTACCACCCCTGGTCAGCGGAAACGGTTACATCGCGTCGATCGAGCACAGCTCACCAATTGCAGATACCAGGTCCGACAGTGCTAGTTATTATGCTCCTCGACAGTAGGTTTTCTATAGCTGACATTGTTTGCACGAAAACACATGTTACTCTAAGTCATTCTTCCTACCCGGCAAGTCGGTACCTTATTTCAGCAGATCATAGGTTCTATCACAAGCGGTGTGCGCCATTTCAAGCAAGGAATCATCACCTTCCGCCTTAGTTTCGTCAGAAGCACCGGCACCGAAGTGTTGCTACCTCCTGGCATCCACATCAGGATTCCCGCTTCATTCACTTGCAACTTACCAAAATTTCTCCTAAACGGTCCTAGCTGTTTGTGTTGGATCCCGTTTAAGACTGATTGACAAGTTATCGGTGAACGAGCCCCTCGCACAAGAGCATATCACTGTGTTATTTGGCTACCAACTGTCTCGGGTTGTGCTCAAATAGTACACCATTGATACCGAAAGCTACGCTCAGCAGGTCAACTTCGTTCGCCATGCGTGAACAAAAATCCGCGGTTTGGTTCTCCTTCCCCCGCGTGTAATATATCATGAAATCATATTCCTAAAGGCACAGCGCCTACTGCGCCAGCTTTCCCCTGGGGTCTTTGGCGGAATTAATCCATTCCAAAGGCTTTTGGTCCGTTTCGACGTGAAAAAGCTGACATAACAGATACGGCCACCATCTGTCCAACGCCCAGACGATGGCGAGACAATCCTTCTCTACGCTTGAGTACTTGCGTTCTGCTGGTTTCAAAAGTTTACTGGCGTGCTCAATCGTCCCGTGACTTTGTTTCAAAGCTGTCCTAACTACGACATCTCTGGCATCCGTGAGATCCGTAGACATCTCTCCATTAATGTGCAACTGCAAGGACAGTTCCAGTCTTCCCATTTCTTGCAGACTGCGATCAAATGCTTGTTGGGTTTCTGCAGTCCAAATAAATAGCTTATTCTCTTTCAGCAGCCAGTACAAGTTTGAGGCCAAATTTTCGAACTCCTTGACGAGTTTGCCGTAGTACCCATAACAGCTCAAGAACGCTCTGGTAGTGCGTTTTGAGGTAGGAACTGGGGTGCCTTGTATAAACAATAATTTCTCAGGCAGTGACTTCAGATCACGTTGACCTACTTTATGACCCAGTAATGTGACGGAAATCTTTCCAATCTTGGGGTTCAGCCCGTTTATATAGAGTCCTGACTGCTGAATCTGTTCCAATATTGCTTCGAGATGACCACTGTACTCCAGCTCTGAATGGCTATACACCATGATATCATCCCCGTAAACTGCCACGTGCTCCAAGCCACTCAGTAAGCGCAGAATTAAAATAGGAAGGTGAACTTAGCTCACGATAATCCAAAAGGCATCATTTTAAACTGGCATGGGTTTTCACCAAAGGTAAACGCCGATTCTTCTCGGTCTGCTCGTTTGATCGCCAGTTGTCAGTATCTAGACCTCAGATCAGGACCGCGAATATCCTCGACTGCTGCAATCTACCAAGAATGTCAGCAGCTGATGGCATGGGAGCGAAGTGACTCACGGAGGTTTCATTCAGTCTACGGAAGTCCACACAGAAGCAGTACTTCGGATTAGCCTTCTTCACCAAAACCTATGTTTGCTAACGCTGCCTTTTGACTATCTAATGGAGAATTGTACAGCCCATGTGCGTCTACAGTCACATTCGCATCCAGCATATACTGTACTTTCCTCATCATTTGGTAGTCTTGGAGACCCTTGTGGGCGATACGTCTGTTGGGGTAGAGGCATGATGTGCTCGACCCAGTCACAAAATCCAAACGGGCTGCCGTCATCTGCAAACAAGAGGTGGTAGTTTCTGATGAGTGACTGCAAGACCGGGCTCAAATGTAACGCGGCAACAACCGAGTGCAAAGGGACGGTTCCTCCGCGGCCAATGAGTGGCAACGATCCCTATTCAGTCAACAGTTTCCCTCGTTTTAAGTCTAAGGTAGCCTTATTGAACCCCACGGAAACTACCAACATTGATCAGATCACATAGCTGGACTGTGCCTCGCACCGCTGAGGAATAAACCACTAATTTATTCAACACATTCAGCTATGTGTTCAGAATGTCATTTATGCAGACTGCGTAACCGCCAACAGCTCTGACGACCACAGAGCGCAATCGAGGCTCTTCGCCCGGCCGATGGTTGATCAGAAATACTGTTGCATCTGTATCGACCAGACACCGTTCCATTGTCTCGTCTATTTCCACCACCACTTCGATTGCCCGCCTATCCAGCTGCCGGAGTACACACCCATCAATCCGTGAAGAAACAAAAATGGCTGTGTTCATTTGATACACGTGCCGCAGCGCACCTCACCGAGCATCATCCTTACCAGCGTCCCGGTTCTCCGCAAAGAAATCAACATTCTCCTGTTCGTTGCTCAAAGCGCTGTGTGAAGACCGCTGACATATTGTATGAGCTGTTCTTTCATCCGCTTCACGACTCCACGGTGTTTCTCCTCCAGCGCAGCGAGCGTCGCAGTGCCCAGCTAATGGGTCACCTTCGCAAAATTCTCCAGACGTAATCACCGGGTAGCTTTCGCAATCCGGACGCGTTCCGCGAAAGTCTATGTTCATGAACTGATTCGCCAGTAAGTGTTGTCTCCACGCTTCGTCCACCACACAGAGCTCGGTCCAACACGGTCCGCACTGTCATAATGTAAGTATAACAATTCTTGACGATTCTTTCTAAGGTCAAAGTGGCAACAAAAGTGTGGTTCATCTGGAGATGGTTTGACAAGTGGTCTCGTGAACTGAATTTATGTTTGGTATAAATATGGAACCTTTCCACTGGCGGGAAACAGTCGGTGTTTAATGATGATGTAGAAAGGTTCAGCTTGTACAGTGGTACTTCATTGTCACCAAATCCCAAAGCTACAGAAGGAATATCGTCAGTTGCCGGTTGCAATGCCAGGTTGATGGATGTGATACTCATCTGTATGTCCTCCAGGATCCAAGGGATGTTCTGTTTTTCTTGTGAATAGAGGACAAGATGCAAATGATGCAGTGCTGAACGAGGTGGCAAGGATTCACATATTTGGGCTACATTATCCGTTGCCGAACCGCCGCAACAAATTAGATTTTGAATTTCATGGTGTCGTTTCAGTTTTCTTGTATTGAGTAATCACATCAGTGTACAATATTTTTCTGAGTCCCTAATAGTTAGGTTTTCTTCAAGAATACCAGTTTGTTGTTCAAACTTCAATAAAGCTATATGAATTGGAAGTAATGTAGCATATTGTTAGGTATGCAGTGCAGAGATCCCAACTTTCTTAACTTGTAAGTGGCTTTCTAACAACGTTCATATCGGCCGTGGGTGTTAGAATGTCTGTGTATGTGATAGTGGTTTTTACGAACTCGCTTGCGCTTAAGTTCGAATCAGCTGTGGAAAAGAATCGGCCCAAAGGTATGATCGTAAGCATTTCGTCAAATGTGCTGCAAGTAAGAAGATACAGTTGGGGAACTAGCTTCCTTATTGCTCTGGACTTTTTGGATGGCCTAATATTCATGCTGCAGAGCACCGTATTGTGAGCACCTCCTGTTAATGGGTAATCAAGTAATACCTGAAAGGATTTAATGACGGTGGGTGAAAACCATATTCAAGATGTTGTTTAACCTGATAGGGTGGCTAAAGTGTTTAGTACAATCATTGCTGCAGACGCCGTGGTTTATTTCCGCAAGTCCATCAGCTGTTGTCGATATATGCAATTTTCAGGTTATAGTCGATAGATTAAAATCTTCAGATATGAGTCTGCACTCGAGTGAGGCGATAGAAGCAGTATTAATGGCGAACACTTTATGTTGATTTATGGGTGATGGCATCTGTGGTTCTATCAATGCACCCCAGTAGAAGAGCGAAGGCAGGATTTGTCAACCAACATGGGTCTTTTTTAAATCATTGAAGGCTAAATAGTCAGCTGAGGCTGCTGTTATGCTATAACGTATGCAAGTGAGAAACCTAACATCGCGTCTATACACACGACCTTTCCGAGAAAATTGTTAGTCCGGAACATTGCACTTAAGGTCTCACATGCCCATGTTCCAGTGACCTAAACGCGGAGGTGTAGCAAGTGACAGGGAAGCGGTCCGCCCCGGGCGGCATGTGACAGGAGGCGGCCTATTTAGCACGATTGATTTTTCGATACCAAATATGGGTGGACAACATTCCCAGA